GCAAGGTGGAGGGACAAAGTACTGTGGAGAACTGACTCCTATCACTGCAAATAATTTAAAGACCCTCCAAGTGAAAGGGCCCCAAAATTCCAGATGGGAAAAAAGCACTAGTCAAATTGGCTTAAAACAGAATTGGAGGCTTCACTCTTTTCGGTACGTCTTGGCTATTCTGTTTTTAATGTTACCACAAGCATGGGGTAAATTGAGCCACCAAGCTCATCAGCCATGCAAATGGACACTGCATCGGGTGGGCGATGATGATGATGAAGTCATACAAACTATAATGACTCCAGGGGCTCCTAGCTTTAGAACCACTCTGTGCCAGTTAGCGCCAGTAGATGAAGCATGTAAAAAGGAAGGTATATCATTTTATCTATGCCCAAGCTCTAACCCCGGGAAATCGTATTGTAACCAACCAGGACAATATTTTTGCGCATACTGGGGTTGTGAAACAATTGCTTACCCATGGATCACGGTGCCTGGAAAGGATCCCTTCTTGAAGGCATCCTGGGCCCCTTACGTATGCAGGCCGCAAGTGGGACGTGCACTAGATAGAAGTAAGTCCCTTTTTATCGCAAGGTGGAGCTGTAACTACTGGTATTTGAATGTGACCCGACCTCAAGACCCTTGCTGGCTAGTAGGGAAAACTTGGGGAGTTCGGTATTATAAGGAACTAGGACGAGATAGAGGTGGGCTAATACACATTAAAAAAGAACCGGCCTCACCTGATCCACTGCTAGTAGGCCCCAACCAAGTCCTAACTGATGATCTGGCTAAGAAAATAAGCCCCAACCAGACATTGACTGATAGTTTGACCAAAAAAGCAGAAAGTGATGTAACGAAAGTTCTTGTAATGAGTAGTACCCAAACCCCTAATGAAAACTCCGGGGATAACTCCCTTTGGAAATTGATGCAAGCCAGTTACCTGGTGTTGAACAAAACTAACCCGAATCTTACTGAGCATTGTTGGTTGCGTTATGGGATAAAACCGCCCTTTTATGAAGCTGTAGGAGTAATTGAAAAACCCCGACGTATGAATGGCACTAACCCGGCACAATGTATATGGGACACAGAAAAACACGGAATTACGCTGACCCAAGTAACGGGAAAAGGTGTGTGTGTGGGTAAGATTCCAGAAGACAAAAGGCAGTTATGTGTCAACCCTGATAAAAAGGAACCACGAAAACCCAGAAAGCCAGCAAAATGGCTGTTACCAGCTAATAACACTAGGTGGGTTTGTTCCACTATAGGAGTTACACCCTGCATATCGCTGAGACATTTCAATGAATCCTCCAACTATTGTGTCCAAGTAGCAATAATTCCTAAGATTATCTACCACCCTGAAAAATTTGTATATGATTCACGTATCACCCAGGAACACCACTTGTCTAAACGGGAACCCTTCACGGCATTAACAGTAGCCACTCTAATGATTTTGGGAGGCGCAGGAGTAGGCACGGGAGTAGCCTCATTGGTACAACAAAGCAAAGAATTTAAGGCATTGAGGATAGCAGTAGATGAGGACCTGGTACGAATTGAGCAATCAATAACCGCTTTAGAAAAATCCATTAGATCATTATCGGAAGTGGTATTACAAAACCGGAGAGGATTAGATTTAATGTTTTTACAGCAAGGAGGAATGTGTGCAGCACTTAAAGAAGAATGTTGTGTATATGCAGATCACACTGGGATAGTAAGAGACACAATGGCCAAACTTCGAGAAGGATTTAAAAAAAAAAAAAAAGAAAAGAAAAAGAGAATGGGAAGCACAGCAAAGCTGGTATGAATCGTGGTTTAATCACTCTCCCTGGCTAACTACTCTGGTATCAACACTCGCTGGTCCGCTAGTGTTAATAATTCTCGTTTTCACTTTTGGGCCCTGTATATTCAACAAAATAGTTGCAATCGTAAAAAGCAGATTAGAAGCAGCCCATTTAATGCTTGTGACAAAAGCCAAGAACGAACCCATAGAGATACCAGAAACAGAAGAGACCTTTATTTTAAGTCGACAAGAGCTTAAGCGGTTTGATGAACAAAATGGTAAAAAGTAAAAGGGGGGAAATTGTGACAAGCTCAGTATTGTTTGTTCACCAAACCTAAAAACTCACATTGTTACAGTGTTTCATGAAAGGCAGCTGCTTGGCAGGATGGGGCAAGATAGCCAACATCTGCTAAGCAAGCAAGGCCAAGCTGCAAGGTCGAGTTATGCTAACATCATAAATTGTGAAAAGACTTGGGAGGAAGGGAAGGGGGGAGGCTCAGGAAGACGAGGAGTATGTGATATGAGGAAGACATGGAGCCTTCATCCCTGCGACCACCAAAAAGCAAAGGAAGAAAGAGGACGACCCCCTAGCAACAAACCGCGCAGACGCACAGTACACCACTAAGAGAAACGCTTATACCGGAAGTGGAAGAGTATAAAACCAAAGACTTTTGTAACCTAAGTGCGCGCCGTCGGCAGAGTGAGACTCCCGGGCCGCCCAGCGCTGTTTTGCTTGCTGCCGCTTGCTAATAAATACTTCAAATTTAATTGGCTCCGTCTCCTCGCCTCACTTTGTGAGACTAACTTATAACAACCTCACAGAAGATGTTCACTTCAGACATCCCTCCCCGTGGACAGGTGGCAACATCACCCTCTCCCCACCCGTGCCACCAAGGCGTCCTGCGCTCCGCATGCCAGGACTTGCCTCCCACAGCTACAGAGGGAATTTAGCCTCCAACATCCACCGTCTCCTGCCCTCTGGCCCAGGGACTGACACTGCCAGAGTCCCTAGCCCAGGGCCAGAGCAAGGCAGTGGGGTGGGAGACGGGAGTGGGGAGGGCAGAAGTGTCCTGCTGTGGTACAAAGGCAACCAACACACTAGGATACACGACATAGTGTACCCTCTGCAAGACACGTGAAGTCTTCATACTAATCAGCACCAGAAAAGCCTCAACCATGATCAGAAGTGAAAAATTGTGACCTGAAGAGACTGAAGAACTGGAATGGCTTCAACAAGAAAAAACATGCTAAGGACAGGTATATGTGTCTACAACTATGCAACAGACAGCCAGGAAAGGGAAAGAAGTAAACAGGTTTGCCACATCCATATGGACAGAGTAGAGCAAGTACACATACATAAAAGCAAAAATACATGTAGTTTCACATTTTTGGCTTTCATTTTTAATCAACAATGAATACAAAGCATTTAAGTATTGATCTTCAATATTTATCTTCAGTATTTATCTTATAACAAGAACAACCTTTGCTGTACTTAGGTGAAGTCATGGACAAGACTTCCAAAATACTTGAGTATTTATCTAAATTAGAAGGGCCAAAGCCCAACTAGAACTCAATCTGTCTACTGCCATAAAAGACAATAAAAAGTGTTACATTAGCAACAAAAGGAGGGCTAAGGAGAATCTCCATCCTTTATTGGATGCAGCGGAAACATAGTGACATAGTGACAATGGATGAGGAAAAGGCTGAGGCATTTAATGCTTTCTTTGCCTCAGTCTTTAATAGTAAGACCAGTTGTTCTCTGGGTACCCAGCCCCTCTGATCTGGAAGACAGGGATAAGGAGCAGAATGAAGCCCCCATAATCCAAAAGGAAATGGTTAGCAACCTGCTACATCACTTAGACACACACAAGTCTATGGGGCCGGATGGGATCCACCCAAGGGTACTGAGGGACATGGCAGAAGTGCTCACCAAGCCACCTTCCATCATTTATCAGCAGTCCTGGCTAACCAGGGAGGTCCCAGTTTACTGGAAGTTAGCAAATGTGATGCCTACTTACAAGAAGGACCAGAAGGAGGAACCAGGGAATTACAGGCCTGTCAGTTTGACCTCAGTTCTAGGAAAGGTAATAGAGCAGATTGTCTTGAGTGCAGCACATACAGGACAATCAGGTGATCAGGCCCAGTCAGCATGGGTTTATGAAGGGCAGGTCCTGTTGACTGTCTTGATCTCCTTCTATGACAAAGTGACCTGCTCAGTGGACGAGGGAAAGGCTGTAGGCCTTGTTGTCTACCTGCACTTTAGTCGCCATTTGGAGATTAATGGTTTGTGAATCACGTTCAGTGGTGTTTTGAATTTTCAGTGTCTTTTCATGTCACTCCGGTATGACCCGTATCTATTTTGTTTTCCTTCCCAGCAGAGATACTTCCCTGTGTTTCAACCAGCCTTGACCTCACTCGTAATCATGAACATGAAGAGCTCCATGCATGGGATGCTGTGACTTTCTGCGGGCCATTCTCAATGTGAGGCATCAACAGTACAGGAAAAATTTACAGAACTGAATCTTTCAACACTATGACACAGGAAAAAGTCCCCACCTTAAAATGTGAAAGAGCTGACGAAAGACAGAAACAGCATTTCACCCTCACAAAATTTACCATGGGAGAGATGCACGTCTGGATGGATTAGCAGTGATGGGGATGTCTGCCATCCAGTGGCTTTTTTCCTTACTGCTGAACAGCTACAGTGGCTTTGATCCACACTGCCTGCTAATTTGGGTTTGTGCCTTCCCCTTTGTTCTCACTGCACAAGAGGGGACAGCAACAAGGACCTGGCATATTCTCTGTATATCCAAATTCTCAGCGGAGCTGAGCAGCTCTGTGTCATGTTATTGTTGCTGGGTCTTTGCCTGCAAAAACTTCATCACAGCCAAAAGTCCAGGGTCCTGTTGTCAGCACGTTACTGCTCCCAACAACTGGAGGGGAGCAGTTGTTTTCAGACGAGGCTACTCCTAGTTCCATACTGTTAGCAACAGGGTTTTAAATTAAATTAAAAGGTGTTCCATTTTTAAAATCATAATTGCGTTCATGCAGTTGAACAGAAACCCCATTGTGTTTGCGTGGATGCACAAGAAGTTATTAGGCGTTCCTGTTTCCTGTAATAACAGCGGCTTCTGGGAAGTACCCTGAATCAGCCGCTCCGAAACACCACCAGCAGACAAAAAGCCCATTCGTCTCTAGGAAGTGCAGCGAGAACGTGGGGAGACATCCTGCAGCAAACATGTCAGGTCTGTGATATCTGTCTAATATTCTTGTATTTCTAATATCTAATATTCTTGAAGTAGCTCACTGTACCAAAGTCTGGTTTTCATCAACTGCTGGGCTGGGGTTAGCATTGTTGCTCTCAGTTGCTGTTTGTGTGTTTTCCCTTCTGCAACGGTGTGTTGAGGCAACAGATAAACACAGACAAATTGCAAGTCAGATAAATTGTAATGGATGTAATCGAAGGATGTTTCTCTTTGATTTTTCCTGTTGATGGTAGCTATGGAAAAGCAAGCTGGAGCCAGCAAGTAGTGTAGGATTTCTTTTGACACTCAGAGATTTTTTATTTTGGAATAGAAAATCCACCTTTTGGAGGTGCCTTTCTTCGTTGGTTATGGGGCAGTTCAAGTCACAAGCTTAGACTAGACAGCTAAGTTTTAGGCAAGCTAAAATTAGGGAAGATTAATTGTGCACAAAGCACTAGTTCACTTCACAAGCTACACTGTGTCTTAATGCTAGTGTGACCGAGAGTTAATCCTTTCCAGAGCATCTGATACCATGACCACATCTGCTAGCACAAATGGCTGCACGTGCACCGAAAGGATGCCATGGGTTTCAGTCACAGATCTGAAAACATTTTAACAGTATGTGTCACTGCACTGGCCTGACATTTTGTTGCAAATACTGCTCTTTAGGCTGTTGGGAACGTTATGGGAATATACTGAATGTTGACACGACTGGAGCTTCGGAAGCAACTGCGAAACCAGAAGGTCTGAGCTATGCAGGTAGGCACTAATTCAGTTGTTCATCTCCCCTTACATCCACGCACAAGCTCACACCGATTACAGATCCCAGTCTCTGGCTGTCAGTCATTCCCAAGCAAGCAGATTTTTCCACAACCAACAAAGATTCTACTTGGGTATGTAAGTTTATGTTGGGAATGGAGTTGCCTTTGAGATGGTCTGAGGAATATTCAAGACCGTCACAGACAAAATGCAAGGTCTGCTGGGTGCATCCAACCCCTGCCATCGAGCCTGCTTTTCTCTCTCCCTTAAGAGGGTTTTCCTCACGACCTAAGTTTCTGAACGTTTCCCCATTACAGTCCTAAATTAAAAGGAACTAAATCTGGGACTAATCCACCCAAGGGCTTAGATTTAAAACAAATTACCCGTCTTGTAATCTGCACACTAGAGAACTGCCCTCTGTATTAGAAAAAAAGTCTTTTATACCATGTGTGTATTGATTTCTAGGGCACTTGCCCTTCAGCAAAATTGGTCAATTCTATCATTGCTTCTCCCAAAATACATTAAGAAGGATTCAAAATGTCAGCTCAGTCATAATGACTGTTAGAACAACTTGTTTCTGATTTTAAAAGCGAAAGGAAAAGTTATGCATGTTGTGCTGTAGGAGTTACTGCCTCAGAGACAATTGCAAGAAAAGATTTGAGGAACATGGAGAAATACCGAGACAAGATTACAAAAGTTGGCAACAGCAAGTGTATTGATCCAGCTGTGATTGCTGGTATTATCTCTCGAGAGTCGCACGCTGGGACAGTGCTGAAGGACGGCTGGGGTGACCACGGAAATGGATTTGGTTTAATGCAGGTACAGTTAACCTTCTTAAAAACACAAACCTCATCCTTCTTTTGAAGCAGAAAGTCAGAAGAGCAGCAGGGGACCCGTTGAAAGACAACCCACTAAAACTTTTCTGCCAAGTCTTTGGCCAGAAAAAAGCTGACGCTGACCCAGCTGTCAGCTCCCAGCACTGAGGAAGGACCCTGCTGAGTGTCAGGGCACAAGCAGACTGCTTTTGCACCGTGAAACCACTGCTTGCTTCCCAGCGCTCTCTTGGGAATGAAGAGATTAATTGGTCCTATTTCATACTTTAGATAATAAATCTTGTTTTAAAAAGCTTTTTTTTTTTAACTGAGCACGGAGGCCTGTAGGCTGCAGCGACATACAGTCAGGTTAATTACCCTGTATGCACCACAGGGGCCTAGTGAGTGGGGAATCTTGCTTCATTACTCATGCCTACGTTCACGCCTCACTGGTTTGCCAAGTTGCATGCTTATCCGCACAATCCCTAAACATTTGCTGCACGCATTGGGATCTGCTTCTGTAACAGCTCCAGCCCCCTCAGACTTGTGCTTTACTAACCTATGGATAAGAGATAGAGAAAGGAGAAGGAGAAAGGAGAAGGAGAAAGGAGAAGGAGAAAGGAGAAGGAGAAAGGAGAAGGAGAACAGGGGCAGAGATCCAGGGGAGATCCCTAGAGGAAACAGGGGGTTTCCAACCCTTGACGCAGGTGGGGAGGAGAGGAGAAGTCACCTTGCAGCTGGAAAAGTTTAAGCAGCAGTAAGCCAGCTTTCTGCACCCTGACACCTTTACAGCAGCAGGTGAGTTGGTTTAAGGCGCTGAGAGACAAGGAGGTGGGGCAGGCAGGTATTCCTCTTCAGTGCCCTGATCGTCTGCTATTCACGCACCTGCTTGCTTTTGCCCTGTACCATTACAAAAGAGGTAAATAATGAGATTAAAGATCAAAAAGGAATAAAAGTACCCTGTAAGCAATGAAGAGCTCTGGATAAATAGTGGTGTTTCTGGTGTGCTGATATTGCTGTCTCACCTTCAGGTTGACAAACGGTATCATAACACTGTCGGGTCATGGGACAGTGAAGAGCACTTGGCACAAGGCGCAGAGATTTTATGTGACATGGTAACAGCAATGGAGAAGAAATTCCCAACTTGGACAAAGGAACAGCAGCTCAAAGGTAGAGTTTTGCCAGCTTTAAAACACTCCATACACATAAAAGTCAAGCGTGATAACGCTGTAAAACCAAGCACTGCAGAAAAATAAACACATCCCAGTCCCCCTGTTCATTTTTTGAGGTGTAGAATAATATTGCTTAGTACTCACTAAAAGGAATAGAGGGATAAGATTTGGTTAGCTTTCTAGCAGACTTTTGGAAAAGTTGGCAAATATCGTTACATTTTTCAGTTGAAAGGTGCAAGGGCAGGTTTTTCCCTCTCCTCTTCCCATTTCACTTGTTTTGTGTTTCCATACCCACCTACAAAAGCTACTATCCTGCGAACTCTGAAGAAGGAACACGTTAATTCTGAAAATGTATGGTCCTCTCTAGGGAAACATGGTTCTATTCTTGAGCACCAATTACAGCTGAAGCAGTCGTTATGGTTGGGTCCCTTTATTCCAAATATAAGACAAATATGTCTGAGGTTATTAAGGCAGGCAGGCATGAAAGAATATGCACAAAAGGAAACAGTGATACAACTGAAGATGTTACGTTAGCAAAATACAGCAAGGGGACAATGATCACCAAGTCTGGATGTAAAGGAGGAAGTTATGATTTCTTCACAAAGTTAGAACACAAAAGGAGCACCTTGGTGACAAAAATAGCTGGAAATTATAATACTGTTGCGAACAATACCAGTGGAAGAGAGCTACAAACTAAAGCAATGCATTTAAGCTGTGGGTTTTGTTTGTTTGCTTATTTATGGACAAAGTATCATCTCTGTTTATGTGTGTCTTTTGCTTTCATTTCAGCTGCGATCTCAGCCTATAACGCGGGACCTAAAAACGTCCAGACCTACAACAGAATGGATATTGGCACAACACACAATGATTACGCCAATGACGTGGTTGCAAGAGCCAAGTTTTATAAGAGAAATGGATACTGAGATATTCAAGTAATGATTAGATTTGGGTTACTAATTGCATACTTTGCTTCTAATTTAAAAAATCCTGGATTTCTCCCCCAGAAGCAGTGAGAATGGGGGAGGGCAATGAAGCCAGAAACAAGTGCAAGCTTTCAATGATTTGTTTTTACCTAGGCTAAAAGTCACTTTAAATGACAACACTGCTAATAATCCAAAGTGTAACCTATCTTTTGGCATTTATTTTTTATCTCACTTCACAAGAATATTCAAGCTGAGTTTTCATCTGTGCTTGCAGTTTCTCAAGCAGCAGATCAATGCTACGAGAAAGTTATCACTGCTTAACAAGATTTCATCTGCCTTAGATTCTATCTGTCAATACATGTGTCTAATAGCAGTATAAAATTGGTTGTTAACAATTTGCAATTTTGGAACTGAGTATTTGCAATAAATATTGTATATGTTTAATCTACCAGAAGAGTGTATCACAGTGTATCATACCCTTTCAGAATAATTGCTCTTAACCTTGGTCATGTGACCCCAAAGTTGCTGTTTCTTGTGACAGGAGGGAAAATACTAAGCTATCCTTAACTCTTTTTGCCCTTTATACTACTTCATTTTAGCCTTTACAGCTGCAAACAATCTGTAAAACTCAAGCTGCTGTAATGAATGCTTCTATTGAAGCTACATATTAGTTTCAATGCAGGGCATGGAGTAAGAATATGTACATTATGTTTTTAAAATGGCATGTAGTTTATAAAATCTGATGCAAGTTCATGCACAATAAACAGATCCTTTTAATCAGTCATATAGTAAAGCTTTTGGGGAGTTTTAACTTCAGAGTTGTTGGGTTCATTCAGCCATTTCAAAACACAAGAGGGAAGAGGGAAAAGTGTTTTAGAGTGGTTAAAAAAAACCCTCAAGCATACTGCTAGGGGCTAAAGGAGAAATAACAAAGAGCATGGGGGGGTGTGTTTGTCTGTTTGCTGGTTTGTTTTAAATATGGTGCATTTTTTATAGCTAGTATTTTGTACCTGTGATTAAAAAAGATTCTGATGCTATTATTAGAATTGATGTACTCACACTACACTATTAATTACCAAATCTGAAACAGTAAGTGAACCTGCAACAGAGCAATAGCAGAGAAATAGAGATTTATTCTTAAAACAGTAAATTTCCACATTGCTACCACATATTGCACCAAAGATTTGTTTCAATATACTTTAAATGCTACAGCAGGTAGACATGGCAAATGATTCCTATCCAAGAAGCAAGGTCAGAGTGAGCCAGCTGCGTGCCCAAGCAGTGAAGGCAGCTAAGGGTACCCTGGGCTGTATGAAGAGAAGCACAGCTTGACCAAGGGAGGGGATTACACGTGCTTGTTAGACTGCAGAATAGTGTCCAGTTTTGGGCCCCCTGACACGGGAAAGACCAACGAAGTAGAGAGAGGTCAGTGGAGAGCCACCAAGGTTGTTGGGGCTGGAGCACTTGCTCCATGACGAGCAGCTTCAGGCAGAAGTAACAGCAGCCCCTGTGAGGGATAATTGAGGACATGGAGCCAGGCTGGCTCCTCGCAGTAGCACAAGGTGGGAAGATAAGTGACAACAGGTGTAAGCTGAAAGAAGAGAGGTTCAGACTGGATACAAGACTGTATTCTGCATATAACCTTTTCCCTGTGAGGACAGCCAAGCAGCAGAGCAGGCTGCCCAGAAAGGCTGAGCTGTCCCTGGCCTCAGAGGTTTTCAAGACTCGACTGGACAAAGTTCTGAGCAACCCGGTCTGACCTCAGCGCTGGCCCTGCGTTGAGCTAGAGACTAGCAAGGTACTTACCTTGCTACTTACTAGCAAGGTTGGACTAGAGACCTGCAAGGTACTTTCCAGATGGACTTTTACTATCATCTTAAGTCAACCTGTTTGTTCCCTGCACAAAAAGGTAGTATCCCTTACCTGTAATTCATGAAGATTTACGTGAAGCATTTACAATGCTCCATTAATGAAAGGATGTGGACACACACCGTGTTTGCGCACCCTGCTGGTTCAGGTTTTAGACCTGAGAGCAAATCTTTAGAGAATGTATGCTTATACAGAGAAGGTCTGGGATAGCAGATTGACTGTATGACAGTTGTGACCTTGCAGGAAATACCATTTCAGAAACCCCCCAAAACTTACACGTGTACTAAAGATTGTAAGAAAACACAAATTTTCACACAAACCGCCAGCTTGTCACTTAAAGACAGCTGTAAACATCTCTTGTAGCTAAATCTTATTCATAAGTAACAGGGTACTCTCTAAAGCATTTTCTATTCTCTGTACTGGGGCAGCAGTTAGTAGCTCTGCTCTAACTTAGGCGGTTTATCACACATTTTTTAAGTTGTGCCCAGCACCAATCAAGTTGGTTTATTAACACATTCTTTCCAGTTTACATTGCAGTACTTTTGAAGGCTGTAGCGTCTGTATAGCATAATGAATAGAAGATCCATATTCATACACATACAGTATATGACAGGACTGGTAGTGCTCCCTCTGTTGGAGGTTCACCAGGCTGCAGTGCGGTGAACACAAATCTGGAAGGTGCTTGGTAAGGCTGAGCAATTCCTGGCTTTGGTCCTCTGGGCCACCAATCCCAGTACAAGGTTTATGTTTGCTCTCTCTCAGCAACAAGACCCCTTTGCCTAATTTCCTTGGCCCTAGTACTTGTGCCATCTCTTCTAAGCACGCCCTGTACTTTGGATGCACTACACATCCTTCAAAAGGGCTGGAATTTCAGCTTTACTAAGAACTTCCCTGTGGGAATATAGAATCATAGAATGGTTTAGGTTGGAAAGGCCCATAAAGATCATCGAGTTCCAACCTCCCTGCCATGGGCAGGTCAACACCACACACTTATAAGCCACTGCAGCGCAAGATGGTATGCAGATGCTGGAAGGAAGGTGGGAGGGCAGAAAACCAACATTAATTTAGCTGCTTCTTTTTCCTTGTCATTCTGTACATTTCAAACTGACACCAGTGTTTTCTGTGTCCGTCTAACTACAGCCTGTAGCTTGTCGAGAAATTGAGAGTTTTCAGCTCAGTTTTGCGTTTCTGCCTTCAGCCTGTTGGTAGGAGCCATTACATTCTTCACTGCCACTACCATAGCCTTTCCTTCTTTTTCTTCTGCACCTTGTGTCTCCAGCTTTTATGTCCCTCTACTGATTTGTCTATTCCTTTGAACTCCTACTGGTGTTTACTCTTCTCTGGAAGCAGGCAGAAAGGATAAACATTTATTTTCAGCAACTGCATCCCTCTGATCTTCTCACAACACACAGTCATTAAGATTAACTCCTCTATAGTGTATCTAGTGTGGGAGAGGCTCACAGTATGGTAAACTATTGAGTTTATGCTCATTGGAATGAAAACTACTTTATCATTTGATACAGCAGCAGCTTCCGAACTTTGGCCACAATTCTTAAAACTGTAAATAAAAATATGCACATAGTGCTATTCAAGATCCTTCAGTAAAAGGTGTTATTTTATAAGCCTGCAGCCCATAATTACTAAGGTGCAAAGAGGTGTGGTTCAGGGTCTTAAGATTTCTAAAGTTTGCAATTTTAGAACAGGAAAAGCATCAACTTTCACACAGACTGCAGCTCTTAGGCTATTACTATTAAACACGAGGATCAAGAAATACATATGAAGTGAGATAACATGTTTCCTGAAAGACTAATTTATACAGCCTACTAAGATGTCATTCACTCCTCCTGTTACTCCCAAATGGGGAGTTCAGGTACTTTTTAAGCTACAGAGGCGGCCAGATGATAAACTGTTTGCTAAGGAACAAGTCTGAGATCTGGATGACCAAGGTAAGTCATCCCCAAATGCCTGCCTCAATCAAATTACACCCTTGGCAGACAGCCAGTTGATTCTCATGTAACTGGTAAACAGAGGGTTTTTAAATTCCAGTTCCTTCACACAGTAAAGGTGAAGTCATGCACCACCATTGTAAGCCATTACTGTTAGCTGGGAAATGTGATCACCATCATCAGTTAGATCTATTTTACTTACTTCTCTGCTTATCTGACTTTTTTTATAAAGTTCTCTAATAGCAAGCCATGAACTGCAGTAATCTAGCCACGATATTGAAACACAAGGACAGAAAGCCTATCATTCATTTAATATTTCAGGCAAACATTACCAACACCGAATTTTATAACTGCACACATGTAATCCTTCTTTAAGCATCAGTGTCACCTCTGTCGCTCATACCAGACAGGGTAAGAATTAAGCTTGCATTTCATACACAAACTTTTCACTCAGGAGTCAAATTATTTATTTTATAAAATATAAAACCAATCAGCACACCTTATGATTTAATTTCTTTCTGCTCCACAGGTTTCAGATGCCGTTTAATGATAAGCTCTCCCTTGCTGGTAAGAAAGGTGTCCGACATTTCCTCTTCTGTTGGCAACCCATACGGCAGTTTCAGTGGCTGTATTCTACAGGCAAAAGAGTTTGCTTAGTGAAGTCCTATGACCAGAAGAGAGTTATGTTAAGTGTTCTGAATTAAACAAATAGTTCACAAACCTTATCAAATGTTTAACAACTTTCAGTCTGGAATTCACAGAAGGGATATTTTTGTGCAGTCTTGGTTGATGCGCCTATATAAAAGATAGAATTGGTATTACAAATGCATTGCCAAACCCCAAATCTCTGTTCACTGAACTTTTCACACTATCAGTAAAAATATAAACCATATTTGCAAATGTAAGAGTTAGAAAAATAAGGTTTGCATCAAGAACATGCATAAAAACACAAAATCAAAACTTGGTCAAACTCCTGATTCCAGTAAAAGGACAATTTCAGCTTTATCCCCCATTACATTATCAATATGTTCCAATTTCTTCCAACTGTTAAAAATACTATGGATGTAAATACAGTAGTTTAGAGGTAAGACTGCTTGCTTCAGTTAGATCTTAAATTGATCAGGCAAACATTGTTTCTATAACATAACACTGACAAGACAAATTTTTGCACAATGTGCATTTGCCCTAAAAAATGTGGACAAATGAATCTTTTGACACAAACTCTTAAGAGTCTGTTTGAAAATGTATCATCCTTTTTGGATTTGGAATCCTTTTCATTAATAACTGACTCTTATTTGCCTACTGGCAATATCTGAATAATATGACCCACAGAGAAAACTGAATTCAGTGAATTTACAAATACATTTTCTTCATTTTAGCAGAATTCTCAAGGTAAGGTTGTCCTCAGGCATGCAGAGCAATACCATACAGCGATATTTGGAATTCCCACTAAATGAGCGTTTGCCTTTAGTGTTCCTCTCAGCTCTTAAACATACCATTGATTTCTCAATTACATTTATAGCAGCTGTAAAGCAATTCGAGTTTTGTGACTACAAAATCAAGGTCCTTAAATAAAGCCACCACCTTAATTCTACCCTCTGTTTCTACATTTCTGACGCACGCAATAAATACAAAGAACAACAATCATACTTTATCCAGTCCAAGATCATGTATTATCTTCTTTTCCCAATATGGGCGACCAATGACACTTTTTATTCTAGTAACAACGTGGATTTTGTGGGGTTGCTCAGGGTCACCTCCATACTTTTCATGATCTCCAGGTCGTGGCTGAAATACCTAGAATAACAAGTTCACAAAAACAGAGGTTTTCTTCCTAAATATCTGAATTATTACTATTGCTAACAAAATAACTCTCTAAAACATACTAAAACTTTGGTAAAAATCCTAACACGTTAAACTACCTTTCTTTTCAGAAGGTCAAAGCACCAACAAGTGACCTCAAATTCAGCTTTTATAACATTAAGTCAAATTGATTTTTATAATGGTTTTCACTCTTGAGTTTCGCCACACAACTGCACAGAAATACATGGACAATACTATACCAGTACAGCACTTAATTCTCATCGAAGAACCTCTGCTTAGCCTCTGAATGCTAAGTTTTTCCACAGGCTTTAAGAATGATTTTAAGGAAGAATCAAATGACACTAGATGGTATTTTGCCAAAAGATAAGCTAAAAAGGTAAATGTAAAAATGTACATTGTAGGTCTAACTTCCCATCTCTTTGGTTTTAATTATTTATTGAATAGAATATTTCAGTGGAAGGGACGTACAATGATCATCTAGTCCAACTGCCTAACCAATTCAGGGCTGACCAAAAGTTAAGCACGTTGTTACAGGTATTGTCCAAATGCTTCTTTAACACTGACAGGATTGAGGCATCAACCACCTCTCTAGGAAGCTTGTTTCAGTGTTTGACCACCCTTTCGGTAAAGAAATGCTCCTAATGTCCAGTCTAAACCTCCCCTGGCACAGCCTTGAACCATTCCCACACATCCTGTCACTGGATCCCAGGGAGAAGAGCTCAGCACGACCCTCTCCACTTCCCCTCCTCAGGAGGCTGTAGAGAGCAATGAGGTCACCCCTCAGCCTCCTTCTCTCCAAACTAGACAAGCCCAGCGTCCTTAGCTGCTCCTAACAGGACATGCCTTCCAGCCCTTTCATCAGTTTTGTTGCCCTCCTCTGGATGCACTCAAGGACCTTTATCATCCTTCTTAAATTGTGGGGCCCAGAACTGCACGCAATACTCAAGCTAAGAGCCGCACCAATGCTCTTAGCAGAGCACACTCCTTTGACCTGCTAGTTATGGTGTGTTTGATGCACCCCAGGATGCAGTTTGCCCTCTTGGCTGCCAGGGCACACTGCCGACTCCTGTTGAGCCTGCTGCTGACCAGCACCCCCAGATCCCTTTCTGCAGGGCCGCTCTCCAGCCAGTTTATACTTGTGCCTGGCATTACTCTATCCTAGGTGCAGAATATGGCATTTGTTCTTGTTAAATTTCATGCCATTGGTAATTGCCCAATACTCCCATCTATGCAGATCCCTCTGCAAAGCCTCTAGCTCCTCAAGAGAATCGACAGCACCTCCCAGTTTGGTATCCTCAGCAAACTTGTTAATGGTGCATTCAACTCCTGCATCCAGCTCACTAACAAAGATATTAAACAGAATTGGCCCTGGGACTAAGCCCTGAGGAACACCACTGGTGACCGGACACCAGTCAGATGTAGCCCCATTCACTACAACTCTTTGGGCCCTGCCCTTCAGCCAGTTCTTCACCCAGCGCACCGGGAACCTGCTCACCTCACAGTCTGTAGAAACCTATCACACCACAGAAAGCACAGAATTAAGCAGGCTAATACCGATTTTTCAGCTCCTCAGCTACTGAAGCACATACCGAGTCTGGAATTCTTGACCTGGTAAAGAGACAACGAACCCACACTGCGGACGCCATCCCGTCCATCCTCTTCCCCAGCATCTGCAAAAGAGAGAAGGACGTAACTTGTCGGGACTTTCCTTACAGCTCTTCAGACTTGCAAAGAGATTACCCAGCCACCCAAACTCGGACCTCCTGAGCACACATCCCGCGTTTGTTACATCTCTTGGCGGCTGAAGAACAGACTACGCTGACACGGGGCTCCTCGGCCTTCCCAACAGCCGCGCTCTCCTCTCGGGGGA